CGATCAGGCAGATTGTAAGCGAGAACGTTGTACGAGGACATGATTCGTTTAGTAACTTCACTGGCTATAAAGTCTAACATACGCTCAGATTTCAGCAGACTTTCCGGATTAGCATCATGAGTTGGGTTACAAAGAAGCAGTAGTGGCTTAATGGTGTTTATATTCTCATTTAATTCCTTCACAGAGTTTCCTAGAGATATAAGGTCCAACTTATTTTGTTCAGCAGTTGCATATACCTCTGACAACAAGTCGGGAACAATGACTTCGGGGACATTGTTGAGGCTACGCGGAACGCACAGTGATGTACGTATCTTCTTAGCTGAGTGACCCAAACTATTCTTACGTATGGAAAGTACTCGTTTATTACGTTGTGCCATTGCTGAAAACTAATCAATATGGTTTAAAGTTAAAGCCGAGCTAAATCGAAAACGGGTATATGGAAAAATAGTATATCGAGTGGATATACAGATTAAGTACTACTATGGATACCGTATGGAATTTTATTGCTTATAAATAAACAATAAATTTACAAAGTACTAAAAAGTAAAATACAGAGTATATAGAAACCAATTATCCTGTAAATTGATCCTGGTATGTAAACCAAAAAATGATGAACTTCTCTACAGTTTTCTTTTCTGTGACGTTGTTCTAAAGTTACAATAAGGAGGATGAGCCCTGCGAAAGAGTGGATCCAAACTTGATAACTGGCGGTGATATATCTGCAGAATTGGAAGCTAGAGTAGCAGCCAATATAAGTTATAGTTGAGCAGTGGTATAATATCCACTACAATATTCCAGAAATCGACAAAAATATATCCATATACATATACATATATGCGAAAAGGATTCAAAGTTAAGGCGGCTAATATAATTGCTTATAGAATTACCAATACAACCTATTGAAGATTGTGGAGAATAGGAAATCAGCAAATTGGTTAAACGCTCGCTGCGTAATTAGTAGAGTTTAGTTATATGTAGTTGACTGGCTTTCATTTACCATTCTACCACAAATTTTGGTCTTTTAGACGAGCTAGGGTGGACATGTTTATGTGTCTTTCCACGCTACGTTTGAACCCATTGGAGTTTTCACAACATCTTATTTCAGATGGTGGTTGGTTCCAAAAGGTGCAATATTTAATGGTGAAGAAGTTTGCCCTAATGGATTTTCTGTGGGTAGCCACCTTGACATGGTAGTCGTGATTTCGCAGATGATATGATTTAATCTTTGCCCACGTTATGGGTGAGTTACTGTAACAATGTTTCCTAATGACTTCGAAGAGAGGAAACAGGTTGCACTTCACTCTTCTTAACCATCGGGGTTCTTATTTCAGTCGCATACACCTGTCAACATATTTCACTTGTTGGTCAAACCCGATAATGCGTTTCTTCAGAAATTCCCCGGACACTTTCGACCTTTCTTGGTCTACAGACCTTAGGTCACTATATACAGGATAGCACAATATTCAAATTTGTGGCGAATACATGTCTTATAAATAGTTAACCTTGCTTCTTGGGTGTAAAAAGATGAGGAATACAAAGCCAGTAAGTCGTTTACAGTCCGGTATTACTTTATTTGCAGGATCAGAAAAGGTTAAATCTGAGTATATTATCCCGAGGTCTGTGACTGTGTTCCGTTTTGAGAGGAGGTTACCATACATATATGTGCATATTATGGATTTCCAGTGTCCAAAGTGGGCTATACCGCAATTGCCTGGGTTGAAAGTTAGTTGCTATTTTTCGCTCCAACCACCTACATTAAGTTATTATGGATCTTATTTTCGACGCTTAAGTCATGGTACCCATAATAATATACTATCTTGAGATCATTAGCAAAGAGGTATGGCTTGCCATACTCGATTACAGAGACTATGTCATTTACGAATAAGAGGAATAGAATAGGGCCAAGAACGCTTCCTTGTATTACAACACTAGTTCTCGGCTTTGGTGAAGAGAGGTGGTGGTTGATTTTGACTAACTACTCTCTATCTGTGAGAAAAGAGTTTATCCATTTGAGAAGCTTTCCAGTTATTCCGTAGGATTCAGGTTTTGTTAGGAGTCTCATATATATAGGACATTAATAAAGGCCATGCTAAAGTCGAAAAATCATGTCATTACTGAATCCTCACTATCTGTGCATTGTGTAATGTAGTCAAAATAATCTGAGTGGCAAGCATACATGACCTCCTACTTAAGAAACCGTACTCGGATGAGGATAGTAGGTCGTTCAGAACAAGTACCGAACGATTTGAGTCTTTACTATCTGGAACCATTTCAAAACCAAACTATTTCTCTCCCTGCAGAAACTTTCCGAGAAGTGGTCGTATATTGACTTTAAAATGTTTGAGGGTTACTGATGACGATGAATCCAATTGAGGGCCAAAAAGTTGCGGCGAAGCTTACCTCTGAACTGCAGCGCCATACAGGAGGGTTCAAAATACTTACTGAAGCTGCTGAATTCTTTTCCGTCTTATTCAAGCATTGCATTTTGCATGAATAAAAATCGGAACGGCATCAAGAAGTTTTTGTAAAGATATGAGTTTATCCATCAGGCGGAAAAGGAAACGGTAATCATTTCATTTTTGGATGGGCACGCCTTCTGTACAGGTTTGCATCTACACGCAGGAATTTCGGAGACAGACCATCCAATGAATATTGGGCGAAGCATTAAGGGTGTACCAATTTAACATACTCCTCAAAGGTTGTCCGCAATGGCAGAACTTTCCAGAGTGGCCTTCTATTTAACTGACAATCAGCTAACGTTCAGAATTAAGTCTGGATCGTCAATGGGACTCATTGATATGCAAAGTGGAGTGCATGTATAAGACTGGCGTTACAAGGAATGTAGGGGAGTGTTCGAATTATAGTAAGCTATTCCCGTTCATCCCGCTTTGAGAAACGAGATAAAAATGACTGCTAACCTCACAAAAATATCATTCTATAAAGATAATGACGCGGAACCGAAGGGCACGTCTGATTCATTGTTTCCGTTAGACGAACTTTTAGGTCTCTCGCCCCTATATAAAGTCATTATGCTGTTGTGAATTTTGGGGATATTTCGTCACCTACATTCCAATACGTGCTGCAGTGCAAGCCACCTTTAGGTTCACTAGTAAGTGCCGACAGACAACTACAACTAAACTAAGAAATCAAGAAATATGATTTTCACCTATGTGCAGTTACACTGAAGTACTTAAGATAGAGCGAAGCTACTAACCTCACAATTCCGAGTGAGGACCCTTGAATGACGTCAACTTTTAGTTTATGTGTTTGTGACCTACAAGGTTAGCTAGCTTTTGTAAGGCGGGAATACGATCGGGGTTAGCGAGGTTGGTATTCACATATATATACTTTTCCCCATAGTATTTGTCTTTTAAGAGTTAAAACCCTTCTTAGTAAGTCTTTGGCCTCTGTCCTTATGAATATGTGTCACAATACGTAATTCTAATGAGAGGGTGCTTGTGGTTTCACTCCCATATGTTAAACATTTTGGCATATTTGCGGCAGCTTAATCTAAAAACTCTAGAGGAATGGACCAAAATATTGGCATTTTCTCCGAAACTCCAGGTTTACCCGAACGCCCGAAAATGTGTAATAATATGCCTGGTCGCTAACTCATGCACTTGGAGCATAAAATTTAAAACTTATAAAGTCTCAGTCAAATTTTTTGCATAATAATGGAATCCTCAGGCTGAATGCCAATTGCATGCATGTATTTACATTAATTTGCCCGAAATTACGTGCTGAAATAACGAAATCAGAATGACCTAAATTTGTTTCGTAATCAGAAATGGCTTTTTAAGGACATTTCTATTCACTAACGGAAACCTAGCAAATTTAAGGTCTTCTTTATAAAGCATTTCGGCATTACTGTTAATTTGAACACTTCAGCATGGTCCTTGAAATATTGTTTCCTTCAATAAGTTTCCGAAAATCGCGAATGCATGGAAATATTGTCTGGCTCGTTAACTGTTTTGTCCATCGAATACCCCGGTAAAATATTCGGCCCCTACTTAAATTTCTCTATTTAGGACGAAAGGTAAATGTTTTTGGAAATTATGAGCATGTTGGTATCAGAGAGTCTGGAATACTTTGGAGGTTGAGTGGGAAGTTTGTAGTAAGTGTCTTTTTGAAATCTGAATAATAGAAATCTTCATCAGATTCATATGATATGGGTAGAAGGCTCTTGTGGCCTGTGTTAATCCTTGCAAAGTATATCTCTGCAGAGATCTAACTTCTCTTTGAAGGCGTTCACGGATGGAGCTGATACTACTGAATCAGGTAAGGAGTTCCAATCGTTGACCACTCTGTGAGAGAATCTAAATTCTGCACGTATTTTAATCGTCCTCGGTTTGAGCACATTTTTGCGGTGACCCCGTAAATGTATCCTAGAAGGGGAGAAAAGGTTAGAAAGGTCACTTCCTAAATCACCCTTAAGTATACGGTATGCTAAAATTAAGTCGCCTCTCTTCCTTCGGTATGATAACGGGAAGAGATTTAAATGCTCCATCCTCTTATCATAAGGAAGGTGTGAGATACCACTAACTAATTTTGTTCCTACTCTCTGTACTCTTTCTAGAATATGTGCCTCCTTTTTGAAGCGTGGACTCGTCGCTTGTATGCAGTATTCTAGATGAGGCCTGACATATGTTGCGTAGAGTATTTGGAACATGCCCTCGTCTAATCGTTTGAAAGCCCTTCGAATTGCCCATAGCATTCGAAAAGCTTTAGCTGAGGCTGCATTGCAATTTGCAGTTGTTTTCAAATCATTGCTGACAATGATTCCTAGGTCCTTCTGTTCGTTAACATCAGGTAGTTCTGCGTCCCCTAGGGAGTACGACGTATAAGACTTCTGACGTAAGTGCATTACCGCGTTTTTCCTAGCATTCATTTCCAAACTCCATAGGCTTGACCACTCAGCTAATTTATCTAGACCAGTTTGTAGGGCCGACCTATCCTCGTTATTATTTACAGTTTTTCATATCTTAATGTCATCTGCAAATGTCTGTCTGTCTGTTTTCGACATAGAACTTTGCACAAATGTGCGGAAGTTCAAGTCGCCACATTCCGTGTAGCACGCGAAGCAAGAGAAGAAAGTACAAGAAAAGCATAATAGAAACAGTGAGCAGAGGTGTGAGACAAAGGAGTAATAAAGAAATACAAAACAGTTTCATTGAAGATCATAAGTCACAGGGAGTGGATGCATCTGCGCCACTGAGAACGGTTTTGAGCCATGTCACCAATTGTTTCCAACCATAGATTTTTACCGTCCCGAGGACCCCAGCCTGGAAGTCTACACCTTCCTACGTGGCTTAGACCAACTGTTGTGGATTTCATTGACTGGTGCCAAGTTTTTGTTTGACCGCCGCTAGCTTTTTTCCAGCCTGACCCTATATCCGCTAACATTGCTCGTCGAGGGAGGCGATGGCTTGGCATACGTAACACATGTCCTAACCATCTCAGTCTTTGTAGCTTCACGACTTCGTCGATTGATTTCCCCTGTTTACCTAGAACTCTACGCCTAACCTCCATGTTGCTCACCTTATTATGCCACTTCACACGGGAAATAGAGCGCAGGCACCTATGATCAAAGACAGCTAGCCAACCTTTTCATGTCTTCCACTCTCAGTGACCAGGTCTCACAACCATAAAGGAGGACGGAGCGGACTGATGAGCAGTACACCCGCCCTTTGGTCGATAGTCGAACATCTCGTCTACGCCAGAGTCGGCGTAAACTAACAAATGCGAAACGAGCCCCCTGTATTCGTGTTGAGATTTCGTCAGAGATCAGCCCGTTGGGGCTGATGGTACTTCCCAAATAAGTGAAGCGGTCAACGTGCTCTACCACTTCACTTCCTATTTTTAAACTAGGCGTCGATGTAGTCCAGTCCTGTAACATCATCTTGCATTTGGCGGGAGCGAATCTCATGCCAAACATTCGTAGATTGCGGCTCAAGGTGTTTACAAGACTCTGCATTTCATCAGCGTCTTCGCCTAGAAGGACTATATCGTCTGCATATTCCAAGTCAACGAGATTATTCCCCGGTAGCAAGTCAATCCCTGAGTCACTGAAGTCACCTAGGGTTAAGTCCATTAACACATCTATGATGAAGTTGAATAGAAAAGGAGATAATGGGCATCCTTGACGGACACCACTGGTCGTCATCAGTTCAGATGACAGCTCGCCGTAAGCCCTCACCTGGCTGTATGAGTACGAGTAGAGTGCCTTAATCAGTGCAATATATTTTCTTGGAATTCCCTTTACAGCCAAGCATCTCCAGAGAACTTCCCGATCGACAGAGTCGAATGCTGCCTTTAGGTCAAGAAATATAATGACTGTTGGACGCCGGTAGGAATGCCTATGTTCTAGAATCTGTCGGAGGGTGAGGATATGATCAATACACCCTCTTCCTGGTCTAAAGCCTGCCTGGCTCTCTCGTGTTTGTGCTTCCCGAGCACCACTCAGTCTACGCATGATTATTGAGCCTAAGACTTTAGATACTATATTGGTCAAGCTAATCCCTCTGTGATTATCACAGGAAGACTTGTCTCCCTTCTTGTATATGGGGATAATCAGTGACTTACACCAACCCGATGGGACTTCTTCTGATTCCCAGACGCTTTCGGTCGGGTATCTGCAAATAATAATGAAGATGAGGAAAGAATCCCCGGTAATTCGTTAACGTATAATAGGAATAGCAAGGGACCTAATACAGTTCCCTGGGGCACTCCACTGGATACTGCTTTCCATCCTGATAGTACACCGTTAACTCTAACCTTCTACCTTCTATCCATTAAGTAATCTCTAAACCACTAACATAGACTGTCAATCACGTCTCATAAACCGTTAATGTCCAGCTCTCGCTACGCTCGGGCCCACGCTGTTCTTTGAAGATTTCAGAAACGCTTAGTTATAACGGACGAAAAAACCAAAACACCGATCTGCCGCTTGATATTTCTTTATTGTTACACCAACATATAAAAAGAATAAGTGAACTAAGGTCTGAAAACAAATATTACAATAATAAATCATTGTATTACTTCTGACGATGTTTCACTCTTCTTTCTGAACAGCGACCGATGAGACGATGACTGTCGTATTGATGCCTCCGCGAAAATTGGGGAAGTTGATTTTGAGCAAACAACCAAGAATTGATCGTTCAATCTTCACCTCCATTGACACTCCCCGGCAAAAAACGGATCCAACCCTTTTTTCCTTCACGACCAATACACCTTGACTTGGGTGCCATTGCGAGAACGTGGGTCACACGGACAGAGCTGAAATGGAAAACAAACAGAAAAGCCAACACACCACAAGCATACCCACAGCACAATCTCACACATCGCTGACGACCTGCGCCTCCAGACAGAGACCTCCTCTTGACATCTTGCAACACAATCGCCACTTGCTAGAACGACTCTTGCAGAATGCAACGTGACCATAGCACCAACTCATGATACTCTACGCACATCCTCTTATCTACTCACTACCAATTTCCACTGCAATAGCTTGTCACTCATTCTGCCTCAGTTCTAGTAGCGGTGACGCATGCGAGCCTCAGTCGTTTACACTCTTTCTCCCCGGCGTGTCGGACCGCAGCTAACAATTATCTCCGTGTGCATTTCATTCTCAGCAATAGCCTAGCCTCCCGGGCGTATACGATCCGTCTGCTGTCCTTAACATCAACCAATTCATTCATGGATGTAGAAGACTAGAAACAACTTCAGAAGTAATCACGACGAAAATTTTAACAAAATTACGCAATAACAACAAGATACGAAAACAACAAGTAAACACAATGAATCCAAAAACACCAATTGATATGACACACCACACGTATATACAAATAGTACAAACAACCTCGCCGATCATGTCTTGGTGGAACTCCTTTGAAGAATTGCAGGACTTACACCAGTACGCCTACAAACCTTCACAGGTTGATGATCCAAGTGGAAGTCGTCCGGACACAAACAGAATTACCAACAGCTAGATAACGGGTGATATCAATTCAGTATATACAATATGAACATATGTACAAAATCACACACCAAGCACATTGGACTGCTCATTGATGCGCTACCCTTTGAAGAATTGTAGGACTTACAGCAGTACGCCTACAACCCTTCTCAGGTTGACGCCCTAGGTTGGAAAATCGTCGCAGAGTTCATTTGCTGATTTCCTTCTATGAGCTAAATCCTCAAATCTGAACGGCAACACGCCCATGTCATTGTATCGTAGAATATAGATGACGAACAAACACACGACATATCTCATCAACCTAGTGTAGAAACAGAGTAATTTACACCAAAGATAATAACATTCAAGTAGTAACTTGAAACTAGAAATGCCTTTATTCATGCACGTCAATTTAACAATTACTCTCTCATTTACACTTGGCTTATACTCACTAAACTGAGCAATAACTTTCGTCTATTCAAACGCACCAATACTATCATAGTCATTGCAGAAGATACTTGAGTTGATGGGCATGTGTTTCATTGTGGATGAAAACAGCAACGATAACTGAGTGACACAAGGTGATGAATTTAGCGGTGGATCAGAAGCTGTTCTTGTTCGGCTCTCAGATAGTTGTCCAACTGCAAGATTACCACCACTGCTGTGTTTCACTACTAGTTCGGGTTTAGAATTATCATCTGATGATAGGTGGGCTACATGCTGATCAATTACACTGACTGTCTCACAAGTATGCACACCTTCTGGAACTGCATCTGCGTTCAATTCTATTTCACGTTGTAGTTGTACAGAACCTTTATTTAACTTAGCAGTAGTAGGCATATCCCTCATCTCATCATGATCAACCAAAGACAACTGTGAAGTATCATGATCATTATCATGAATATTCACTTAACCGTCAACTTCATCATTTTCAAACTCTTTAATAACAGAAGTAGACAATTTTGGTTCCTCCTCCCAAATAATTAAAGGTTTTATAACTTCACTCTGACTAGTTACACTTTGTAAACTTGTGGAGTCAGAACTCCACTCTGAAGCAATAACTCTATTCTGTGACACTCTATTCAACAACGGCTTACCAGTTGCAACTACAGACTTCCTGACCAAACCGTTATCGTCACACAATTCGGAGTCAGACCTGGAGTTTACATTTAGCTTATCACTGAACTTGCTCACTGGTTCACGGCTGACTTCTGTATGCACCTCTTGCACACGTGTAAAACACAACCGTGATTGTCTTGCATCTTGTAACTTATCTGTTGAGGATGTACTACGAAACCTGTTACATTCACTAGGTCTATATGCATTACTAAACATCATGGAGCCTTCTCGATATCCACCTCTCTGAAACCATTTCGTCATCAATGATTGCATTTTACACTCAGACTGCTCTATTCTAGGGGTGAGATGTAATAGAGTGGCGAAATTGCTCGTAGATTGATTGACACTATCTTTTACCAGTTTCAGGATATCATCAAACCTTGGCTCGATACCCTCATCCTCCATACGGGAGCTCATCTTCACCCACTTCCTTTGCAGTCGAGTAGGTAGACGTCTTGCTATTACTTCTAGTATAAAACTCGAGTTGAGGTCACTCATTCGATTCATCGAAATCATTCCATTCTTGTAAATTAGCAAATTATCCAAAAACTCAGTGAGTGCCTGGAAGTCATCCTGTAATTGACCACCATTACCCTTAACAGCCTCGAATAATTTCCCTGCAATCATCGAAGTTCTTCCAAACCTTTGACGTAATATGCTCATAGCCTCGTAGTAGCCCTCTTTTGGCTTCATAAACTTACAGCACTGTATAGCTCTTGAAGCATCTCCAGTGCAATATCTCATCAAATACATTAACTTCAATTCATCATTGAATAAAACACCACTCAACATGATCTCAAACTCCTTTACAAATTGTAAATAATCAGCCGGGTTTCCATCAAAACACCGTGGTTCTAATTTAGGGAGTTTGATGTTCCTATTATCCCTGAACGGCGAAACAGTAACATCAACCATGTCATGCTTAGCATCAGACACATCGTTACAAGTAACAGACAAGTCACAATGACTTACTTTCTTGTTTGCATCCAAGACACTCTGTCCCTTCTTTGACCCAGGCATTGTTGAACTTGACCCAATTCCAAAAAGTTCCAGATATTGCTTGTTCAAAGAGGACTTGACCGGCACCAGGAAAGATGAACGGTGACTATCCAAACTTTCACCAACTGTTTGAATCCGCCAGATCTGTTTCCATCGTCAGAAACTGTCAATCACGTCTCATAAACCGTTAATGCCCAGCTCTCGCTACGCTCGGGCCCACGCTGTTCCTTGAAGATTTCAGAAACGCTTAGTTATAACGGACGAAAAAACCAAAACACCGATCTGCCGCTTGATATTTCTTTATTGTTATAATAATAATAATTTATTTTCATATAAACATAAATTTACATGAAAATGCATGCCATTTTTACAGGCACGATCAAGGATGATATAATGTCAAATCTTAAATTGTCTACAAGTTAATAATGTTTCAACAGTTTAATATTTGATACATATATATAATTACACTGATTGTCTGAACCAGGCCGTATAGTTATTGAATTGT